AAGAATTGTTAAATATTCATGTACATTCTATTAGATTTATAATTTCATTCACGGAGGTATGGTTAATTTAAAAATAAACATTTATTAAATTCGTCATTACCTTACTTTGTAATAACTGAGAAGCTTTCTCGTTATTTTCTTAAAGATTTGTAAATTCTTAAGTTCTTATTAACAGTAATAGTCTTCAGTTATATCTGAATTACCCTGTTGTTACGTAACGCATCGGTAAACAGCTGACACTAGAATGATGTGACGATGCATAACCAGTCTTACCACCCCTTAATAAATACTAGTATCATATTTTTTTTAAAATATCAAAAATCCTTGTACGCATGCTTCTTGAAAATCGTAGAAATAATATAAATCTTATATTTAAAGATTTTAAAAAATAAAATTAGGCAAGAAAATGAAATTAACTCAAATTACTGCAACCATAGAAGTCATATCTATGAATAAAATGATACAAGAATATTAGTTCTTGTAAGATTATAAAAATAATTTTTTTAATTTATAATTTTAACAATACATGGGGGAAATTCAGTGCTGAACTGATCGTTCTAAACTAGGCGAAAATATGTCACCGATGAGTTCAGCGCTGAGTTTAGGAACTTGCTCGTATTTATACACATACATATTTTCTCATTATTTTCTTTTAACTTATTAAGAAGGTATACGTATAATATATCGTGGGAAAACGGAGAATTTTAGAAAAAACAATATCTAATATAGAAAGTTGTAAAAAGTAACGGAGACCTGCGAAAAAATTATAAATAATTTTTTTTTAAACTAATATTATTTAACGTAAATGACATGTTTTCAAGGAAATTAAGTGAAATTTTCTTACTACATGTAAACTTTTAAATGTTTTTCTAAGATTGAAAACAAAATTTTAAATCCACCGAATCAAGCCAATGCCATTGTATAAAATACTATGTCATAGTACTTGTGTGAAATATAAAAACATTTCTTGTTTATGTTTATAACCTCAAATATATTTATTTACTATAGAGTAGTAAATCTAAATAAGATATTATATTTAAATAATTAGGTATCTATCGGCCGTTTATTCCAAAAAATCATCAAGTAACCTTTCAGAAAAATAAATTAATGAATAATGTGATGAATTATCCACTTACAATTAGTGAAACAACTTTTGACCTATCCATGGCAAGGCCATGAAAATCTCGTAATTTTGTTTTAGTAAACTTTGCAATGGAAAATAACAGCTTAATAACTAATAGTTAGTGTTGCCCAAATGAGGGAGAGACGAGTATTGATCTTGTAAACTCAGTCTTGGTCTTGGTCAAGACTCTCGTAATAGACTTGCAGTTACCTATTAGCTTATTACTAGAGAGATATTACTGTAATTTTGTAGATATGAGAAACCTAGCTGAAAAAGTATGGATAGAAAAAGTATGGTGGTTACACCAATTCTTTAAATACAGTAACTAAAATTGCCAAGTATTATTGACTATTTTGCCTAAATTTTTGTTCAAAAAATCGATTGTTTTACCCATCTTGGTCTTGGTTCTGAACAGATAGGCGGCGTTGGTCTTGGTCTTGCAAAGTTCAGGACCAAGACCGATTTTGAGCAACACTACTAATAGTCCTAAGATCCATAATCATCAGGTTAAATATTCAGATATACTTTGAAACGTTTGTAGGCATATATGAGCCTTTCAGTTGACAGAATGACTAACTCCAATTTTAACATGTTTCATTATTAATTTTAGTGATGTTTCTAATGGCTAAATTTATACCTTTGTTCACAGTTTTATATTTCAACACTGCAATCACTTCCTCCAGAATCAACTTACTCACTGTCAGCATAGATAACTTTTTCAACTAAAAATATCACTAAAATGACATTACTCAAAAATGTTGAAATTGGAGTTAGTCATTCTGTGGTTTATAAAAGCAAAGTCATTGTGTGGTTTATAAAAGCATATGGAGTGACTAGATTTTTATTGCCTACCGTCAATAAAATAAATAGACATTTTGTAATTATAATGGTCTTTATGACTTGTTATCTGTAAGCTTTAAGCTTGAGCTCTGTTTAAAATGCATTTCAAAAATTTTATAATAGCCCAGCATTGCCAGAAAATAATTTCTATTTAAAGTAGAGCGGTAAGTGAAAATTGTGTGTTGCGCGCACCAGATTTTTTGAAACAAGTTTTTCAAAAATATGCATGGAAGTATACTTTTTTTCAGAAAATATTGAATGAGCTCTCTTTAAACACCGAATAAGACCAAATAAACGTTTTTTAAAATTCAGATATGTCCTGGAAACGAGTTCTAGTCCGGTTTCAGCAGATAATTATTTATTCTGAATAAAAAAAGTCTGATGCACGCAACACACAACTTTTACTAACCGCTCTATTTTGAATAGAAATTATTTTCTGGCAATGTTGGGCATTTATAAAATGTTTGAAATGCATTTTAAATGGAACTAAAGCTTAAAGCTTACAGCTAACAAATCATTAAGACTATTAAAACAATGAAAACTCAATTTATTATATCGACAGTAGACAATAAAAATCTTGTTAATCCATCTGCTTTTATAAACCACATAACTTCAGTCTGTCTCCAAGCCTTTCAGTTGACAGAATGATTAACTCCAATTTCAACATTTTTGAGTAATGTCATTTTAGTGATTTTTCTAGTTCGAAAAGTTATCTATGCAGACAGTCAGTAACTTGATTCCAGAATAGGTGATCGCAGCGTGGAAATATAGAACAGTGAATAAACGTATATATTTTGCAACTAGAAACATCACTAAAATTAATAAAAATGAATGTTGAAATTGGAGTTACTCATTCTGTCAACTGAAAGGTTCATATATGCCTAGAGAGATTTGAAAGTACTTCTGAATATTTAATCTATAAATGATTATGGATTGTAAAACTATTAGTTATTAAACTGTTATTTTCCATTATAAAGCTTACTAAAACGTAATAACGAGATTTTCATTGCCTGCCATGGATAATGAAAAGTTGGCACACAAATTGGATAATGTTGGGGTTTCACAAAGGGAAAATTCATGAAATTATTCACTAATTTAATTTTCTAAAAGATTACTTAATGATGTTTCGGAATAAACGGCCAATAGATACCTAATTATTTAAATATAATATCATACTATAGTTATTAAACTATAGTAAATGTATGTTATGAACATATCCATAAAATATTTTTATATTTCACTTCTTCTTTCATATAAGTACAATGAAATATTATTTTAAACAATGGCATTGGCTTAATTCGGTGTATTTTCTACTGAAACTTAGGAAAAAATTTAAAAGTTTACATTTAGTAAGAAAATTTCATTTAATTTCCTTGGGAAACATGTGATTTATTATTTATATTTTTTTCTTCACTCTCCGTTACTTTCTACAAATTTATTTATTTGATATTAATTTTTTCTAAAATTCTTTGTTTTTCAATGATATATTATACCTATACCTTCCGACAGGTATTTCCGGAGATTCGAATAAGCATTTTTTCGACCTGAATAAGCATTATGATTTTTTCCTCCTCTATTCAATTTTCAAATTATTTCAAAAGTTATATTTAGCATTTTTTCGTAACTTTAATAATTAGAGAGTTAATTATTTGAAATGAACCACATTAAAGGTACTTTAGACGCGTATATGAACATTGGGAATATAAGCCCTGTAAAGTGACATCAACGGCGATAAGACTAAATGATATTAAAGACCACTTAATTATGCAATGATATACTGAGTTTAATCAAAATCGTTAGAGCCGTTTTTGAGAAAATGGTACAACTGTGTTTCAGCGTTGACATAAAGTGGCACTTCCGGTTAGCCGATTTTAAGGAAAAATTTGCTAGGACATCTAAATACGTAAAATCAGTTTTGTATGACTTTTCGTATTTGAGCTAGAGTGTTCACATACACAGACCATTTTTTGTTACTTGGTTATTTGGACTCAGAGTACCTCAAAACGTGTTTTTCCATTGAAAACTCAGACTCAAAAATTTTCACGATTACATACTTACGCTTACTGTATATTACATATATAGATAAGTGAAAGTAAAAAATTAGTTTAGAAGTTGACTATTTCTTTTTTTTTTTTAATGTTACTACAACATTTTTTAAAATGATAAATAATTTAGAAGGTAAAATCCGACCTGTATCTGCCCGAGAAAATGTTACTACCTACTAGAAGGCAACATTTCTAGGTCACCCCCAAAATCAAAATTTAATGCACGTGTTGAAGTTTTTATTGATGTAAGAGTGCTAACATATACTTAGGTTTACCACATTACCTACTGCTTTCCAAAAAAGGTTAACATTCTTTAAAAGGGTTTAATCCCAAGATGCAGAAGTCTTCTGTTATGAACCAGGCCCTAAAATTTCAAAATTGAGTTGGCTAAACAGCAAATAATAGTCCCTCCCCATGATCCTCAGATTAAAAAAAACAATAATGCAAATTACAAAAAATAAAAATATTTAGTTAGTCCATTTGCACAACATTACTAAACACTTTCATTGTAAATTACACTACAAAAAGTATTTACATAACCTTCAATAACATTGGTCAATTTAAGATTTTTTTTTTTTTTTTTTTTTTTTGCATCTTTATTATATAAACTTTTGAAAGGCGCAGCTAGCTCACGGAGACCACATGCGGCCCCAAGAATGCACCTTCTCCACCTGTGGTATATGAAATTTTATTTCCTTTCATCAGATGGTCTTAAATCTTTTTATTTGTTTTGGACTAAGGAGCCTATGAAACTTAAAGTTGAAAATTACACATAGTAAATTTGACCCATTTACAGTATTTTTCTTACCTATTAGCAGGAAAATAATTTAAAAAATTAAGAAAGAATGAAATTAATTACGCAAATAGTAGTTATAAATGAAATATTAAAAAATCAATAACTTTTCATGCATGATAATATATGCAATCCAGTGATAAAAATGTATTAAAAAAAATAAAAAGTGATTAAAGTAATCTTTTTTTTTTTTTTATTTCATACATTAAGATAATAATTAGCATACTGATTATGTTAAACTACATATAATTTCATTGTTATAGAAATATACATAAACTTCTTTTATCTTAAATAATATATAGACTTTTATATATTTAGATAAAAGAATGGATAATATAAGTAAATTAATAAAAAAACAAGTTCAAATAATAAAAAATTAAACTCCTAAAAACATTTAGCATAGAATATTAAACAAAATTAAAACTTTTAAATAAAAATTTTTCTTTTTCGAATAAGAATATACATATAAGTAACTATTCCTTAAAGATTCATTTCTAGCTCAATATCTAGGAATTTTAAACTGAGGCGTACCCGGTTCTTCGGGTCCCTTCCTCTTCTGGATAATATTCTGGATCTTGTTCCATTCCCTATCTAGTTCGGCTCTCTCATTCTTTTCTTTGTTATGCTTTCTTGTCCGTCGGCCATCAGCCATTTTTACACCATACTGGAAGGCTGCTTTTGGCAGGGCTTCTTTGCTGTTCATGTATTGTGAATATTCCTCTTGAGTATCAAAATCCCACCTTCCAACAGGGCCTTTCTTGTTACCTTGATCCATCTTAGTGTAATCAACTTCATCATCAGAATCTTCTATCGCATCCTGCATTTCGTCTAAGCCAGGATAACACTCAGCATAACCAGTCGGTTCAGCAGCCAAACGAGATAATATCCCTAAGGCGAAAAACAAAATAAATTAGACTATAGTATTAATAAATCTCTAAAAATGTTCAAAACAAAGACACAATTATTTCAAATGACATCAATTATAATCTTTAATGATAAATATTACATTAATTAAAACTTTGTTATGAATTAATGAGTATAGGATTGTCAACAGAATTTATGAAAAGAAGTCAAATTAAACCAAATATTGGTTAGTTACAAAACAATGCTTACGTTAAGTGTAGAGATATATGAAAATAAAAACACAGTTACCACTGAAACTGATCATTTAACCCATTGAATATCTGAATAAATTAGTTCCAAAAATAAATATCAACAAAATAACTTCCAAAAGAAAAAACAATGATTTATAAAAGTTGAGTATTACTGTTCATGGGTTGCTCCACTTTGAAGAGTGGGCTAAAATCTCTTGATCACACTACAAATGGGATTCCAAGAATGGAAGAATGTCGAAAATGTGTACATTGTATACCACCAATTATTTAAAACAAAATTTATGACTTCCGCAAATTCTTAACTGGTTCTCATCAGTTAAAATCAGGGCCTTCATTAGCTTTAATTACATCGCCGATTTCAACTTCCACTCACATTTAATGGATAAACAAACTACCAGAGGGTCCTTTTCTGATAAGATCAGAGCCTTGCCAAATAGTTTGGTAACATCCATTTACTTTCAGACATACTTGGCCATTTTCAGAATTCTATTTATAGTATAATCATAAGATTTTCTGTCACCCATCAAGGAAGAGTAACAATTGTACAGTAGTACCAAATATTTGGAGTGATGGAAAATAAAAATATTTAATTACTCAAAAATAATGACACCATATTACCTGCTGCTCTTGATTCTTTCTTTCCAGTCGGGTTAACCTTTTTGCTAACTTCTCTTTGTGGGCTTTTTTCTTTCTCAGTATCCTTAAAGTAATTGGCAACTTTCTTACGATCACTGACTTTATTAGCAGATGGTACGTAATCCCCAGCATCAGGAAATATATTCTCTTCAATCTGAAACAGTATTTAATATATAACAACTATATGAATAAATAAATTTCAAAACACGGATCTATAACTACCATTTTATCCTTCTTTTTGGATTTCTTATGATGTCTCGGGCCTTGTCTCAGATAAGAAAGAATTTGAGCTAATTTGTTAATTACGATGTCGTTGGTTGTCAGAGTGGTAATAGATTCAGTATTAGGAACATCAGCAATACTTCTCAATAAAGTGGTAGGTATATCACTGTCGGCCATATCATCGTTTAATTCTACAACATAAGCCATACGACCAGGAGCAAACAGAGGATTCCTGTGAATTTCCTTACCACCCATAACTACTTTATAAACATTTCTACCAAGACGAGTCTTAAAAACCATCTCTTCTTCTTCTTTACTTTTCTTTTCTTTTTTAGGTTTTGCTACAAGTTTCTCCATTTCTTGTTCTTGCTCCTGTTCTTTCATTATAATTTCACTTCTTACTTTTTGTAACAAGGCATAATCTAAACCTTTCACCAAGTGAGTGTGTTCCATATCACCACCCAAAAATTTTGATTCCTGAATCATTTGTCTCCTTCGTTCTGCGGCATCGATGCCAGATTTAATATCAGGGGCAACAGCTCTATACCCACTAGATGTGGACATAGGATCATCAACTTGATAATCTGCATTGGCTCCTTCTCTTCGTTCCCTCGCTCTGTCTCTATACTTTTCTGCAAGTTCAGCCAATTTGTTTTCTTCTTGCTTCTTAAGTTTAGCATAGTAAATTTTCTTTTTTCTTCTCCTTTCCCCTCTGTCATCTTCTACTACAGCAGATGCTGGTTTTTTATCAAGATTTTCAGAAGCTGGAGTATGAGTTGTTGAAACAGGAGTAGCTGGAGGAGCAGACCTTGGGGTCATCAACAAACGACGAAAGTCATCATTTGTCAATCTCTGTGACCTGTCGTCATCTGCGTGCTCAAACTCAGGCATTTCGAAAACTATTCCTAAGCCAATGAAATAATGACTGAGTTATTCAAAGTAGATAATCAATAACGAATCGCACCAGAAGAAGAATAGCAGAAAAGTTTACACAAAACAAAATTAATATATTTTGATGTCACTTCCCTACTTTGACAATGTCAACTTTCCAGGCACTAACAATTACCATTACCTTTTCACAGTGTAAACCTTTAATCTAGGGGATAGGTCGATTACCTTGGATCGAGTTCGCATTAATCGTTGCTTGAGGTGTCGAAATTATTTGGGCTGTTCCAATATACAGTTCTGTACTGTTGGGTTTTTCTTTTGTTTTAAAATTGTTTTTTTATTTTAAAATAATAAAATGATAGCTCGTATTGTGTTCATAAAGAAAATTTGAAGTATATTAAATAATTTAATCGATACTATCAGAATCGAAATAAACTGGAGGTTACAAAAGTATAAACTTTGTTTGTAAACGAAGGTTATCATTAAGTTAATGTTTACCAGAATGTCCTTTGGTTGATGTGTTCTTACATTAGATTCACCAATTTTATTGTGATATAGTTTATGTAATATTTTAAATTATTTAGCTTGTAATTAAGTATCACTTAAAATGAGTAACATTTATATTCAAGAACCTCCAACTAATGGAAAGGTGTTATTAAAGACAACTGTTGGTGATATTGATGTAGAACTTTGGTCTAAAGAAGCACCTTTAGCATGCAGAAATTTTGTTCAACTATGCATGGAAGCATACTATGATGATACTATCTTCCATCGAGTTGTAAAAGGATTCATTGTTCAAGGTGGAGATCCAACAGGAACTGGTACTGGTGGTGAGTCCATTTATGGGGAACCTTTTAAAGATGAGATCCATTCAAGGCTTAGGTTTAACAGAAGAGGTTTGGTTGCAATGGCCAATGCTGGAAAAAATGACAATGGATCACAGTTTTTCTTTACACTGGGCGATACACCTGAACTCCAAAAGAAACATACAATATTTGGAAAAGTGGCTGGTAAAACAATATACAATATGATAAAATTAGAAGATGGAGAAATAGATAGTGATGACAGACCTGCTTATCCTAATAAAATTATCGGCACTGAAATTTTAAACAATCCATTTCCAGATATCATCCCTAGAGAAACAAAGCAAAAGAAAAAATCTGAAAACGATGGAGGTAAGAAGGTTATAAAGGCTAAAGCTGTCAAAGATTTTAAATTATTATCTTTTGGAGAAGAAGCAGAAGATGATGAAGAAGAAATTCATAATATTAATAAAAATTTTGTTGGCAAAACCAAACATGTACCTGGTTTAGAAGTTTCAGAAGATTTAGTGCCTGAAACTCTTAAACGTAAGCATAGTGATAGTGAATCAGACAATGATGATTCTTCTATAAAGCAGGCTAAAACTAAGGAAGACCATGACAGTCAAAATGACACCATTGAAATTGCTTCAATCGCCGAAAACATTCGTAAAAAATTAAACCCATCTGGTAAATTGATACCTGAAGATAAAGAAAGCACTTCTAAATTATCTTGGGATGAAAAGGATAAATCACCACCACCAAAAATAAAAGATAATTTTATGATTGAGGAATACAATAAAGAAAAAGATAAATACAGTGAAATGAAAACGAAATTGCCTAAAAAAGGTGCTTCCAGAGAAAAGCAAACACTTGAAATGCTTATGAAATTCAGGCAAAAAATAAACAAACTGCAGGTGAATAATGAAGACAGTGAGGCTGGTGACAAAAGTAGCGATAAAGAAACCGATGATAAAGATTGGCTAACACATTCTTTGAAATGTGAAGACAAGGTAACATTGGCCAAAGATGCTAATGTCAAAAGTGATGATTGGTTTGAAATTACTGATCCGCGTAACGCTTTAAACAAGAGACGTAGAGAAAATTCAAAATTCTCAAAAGTAAGAATCAAAGAAGAATTAAAATAATATTTTTGAAATCAGTTGTTTTGTATGTAAATATTTGTATATACTTTTATAAGGTATCAGCATTGTACTAACAGCAAATCTTTGTACATTTATAGGTGGTTTTAAATGAATGTGTCAAATTTAAATCCTTTATTTTATTTTACTTGTTTATTAAATTAAAGCTAATTAGGAAATGTGAAATCTGTTTTCCAAATTTTAAATAAATTTTTAATATAAAAATGTTGATTTTGTATTTATTTGTGACTGAATCTTCTTTAAAAGAAATTTTGTATATTCATATTCCATACTCATTGATCATTTCATTTTAGAATGTTTAATCTACACTGCCTCAAAAAAGTTTTTATACAGTTAGTTTTTCTTTAACATTGCTAATAATCTAGTAATTATATTATTTTAATTAATCAGGAAGGTTGGTTGAGGAAAAGGTGTACCAATACGATGGCAGATTCATGCTGGATCACTAATCCGATTGTGGGAAGAGATACAACTTAAATCTGAATGACAAAAAAGTTTCCACGCATCTATAATGTCTAATCATTCTATCTCTATTCAATTTCATTATTCAAAACTCTTACCTGAACACTGCATTCAAGATCTAATTAAGGTTTAGCCTATTTCAAATCATCACTATGCTAATTGGATCCCATTCTGCCAATAGAGCTACTTTAAAATTTTCAATTCAAACACCATGGTTTTTCATGCGCCCTCCTAATTTATCCCATAAATTTTCTATTGGGTTCATGTTTGGTGATTGGGAAGCAGTTTGCAACTGTTTTTGAACATTGTGGATTAACCATTGTATAACTTTCTTGGCAATGTGCTCAGGACTGTTATCCTGATGAAAAATAAACCTCAGCATTATTCGAAGTTATTCAGCAGAACTTTTTAAATTGTTCCTTAGAATGTTTAGTAATATACACTGGTCCATAATTATATAAATAAAAACAAGATTTCTAACTATTAAAGCACGCATACTCCCCCCCATACCATTACACTTCCACCTTCAGGCTTGAAATTCGGTCACAAATTCTTTGAAATAAGTGCTTCTTTATCTTTTCTCCAGACATAACCCCTGCCATCTGGTACGCAATGTTGAATTTGGATTAATGTGAGATGATCACAAAATCCCAGAATCATTTTAGCTAATTGGCTTACTCCATGAGAAACACAACCTCTTCTTATTTGTTTCGCTTTTCCATGCAATTTGTCTATGAAAACCTTTGCTTCTCAGAACATTCATGACGGTTTCTGGATTTACGCATACCTCGTGATCACTTTCAAGCCCATTGGCTAAAGATATTGCACTTGTATGGGGATTGGATGCATATGGTTTAGAATAGTCTTACTATGAATTCTACCCAATTTTCTTATGTGGCCTGTCTTCCAACGATTTTAATTCACTGTGTCTGTTTAATACGTACTGTACAGTTGCATGCGATTTATTTAGTTAAGTTCCAATTTTTCAGAGAGAAAACCCTCGAGTTCTCAACCACACGATTTGGTCAGGAGTTTACTGCTATTTAACACACATAATGATGATTTGAAGTAGGCTGAACCTTAACTAAACCTTGAATGTAGTGTTCAGATGATAGTTTTGAGAAAAATAATGGCATTGAATTGAGATATTATAGATGTCTGTAAACTTTTTTGACATTCAGATTAAAGTTGTATCTCTTCCTGCTATGGGATTAGTGATCCATGTTGTTATCATGTTGATACACATTTGCCTCTACTACCCTTTCTGATTAATAAAAATAATATAATTAACAGGTTATTAGCAATGTTAAAGAACAAGTAACTGTATGAAAACTTTTTTCTGGAAGTGAAAATTATGCTTTTTAAATTTTATCTATTATTATTAGTCTTGGATTAGTTCTAATCACTTTGAAGAATTATAAATTAGATTATTAACCGAAATTATAAATAACATTAAACTAAAACAGGGTTAAAGAACAGATTTAATTCTGGAAAACCTAGCTTCTATAAAGTGGGAAAATTAATTGGGAGAAAAAAAAAGCTGGTGGCTGAGCATGATACGAGTATTTGCTTCAATTCTTTGTACAACCGTTCACCAAAAACAAACAGTACATTCTTAACCATACAAATTTTAATATTACTTTGTTTTAGCTGAGTAAAGCCAATTCTACAGGCAAAATCTGTCAAGTTTGTTATAAATTGGCAGATTTGAATTTGTTATGAAGATGTAATATCTGAAACGGTCTCCTCCTTACCTTAAAGTAGCCTGGATTATTTAAAATCAGTCCCTTGTAATTATAACACAAATTATAGGTCTAATTGATTATATTTGTTTATATTTTTCAGTTGTCATATCGCTACTGTTAGTGCAAAAGTTTGTATGTAAAAATTTTATGTTTTTCTCTTTGCACTAAAGTTGACATTTTGTCGCCTGCAACTGCTACAAGTAATCCGCTAAATAGGAAAATAGCAGAGGGAAGTAAAATATGAAATTATACCACCCCTAACAAATCATAAAGAAATTATCGCATTTTATGCTCTTCTGTAATAAAACTCTTTTTTCACATACTATTTATACTAACAGTAGCAATATTATTTAAGTTATAACAGGTATAAGAGACTCTGATCTAAAAAGAATAGAATTTCAGGAAAGTAAAGACCTATTTGTGTACTTTCTTTCTCAAGGAAAATACGTTCAAATATGTAGAATTTATTTATTATGAATAATTTTTTAATTTCTTGGCTCATTTTCTTGTTCATCTTAAAAAACTATTTGTATAAAAAGAAAACTCCCTTATAAAAATTACCTTGTTTACAATAATGAAATATATAATTATTAATGGTTTTTACTGTAGAGTTACTTTACTAAGTTTGACTATGTATCTATACCTGAAAATGTAAATATAACTTTTGAACGTTAAAAAAATTTAATTATGAATATACAGTAATGAAAGCATATAATTACATTATTGAAATGCAACACATAGTTATTAGGAAAATAAGTTCGAAGTTAAAGTATCTCATTTGTTTATAATCTTCAAAATATCAATTATTATTCGCTAGCAGATTTCTTCTGTTTTATTATCACTATAACATTATTATAGTATAACAACTAGCAGTAAGGGTATTTAAACTGAAGTTGTGCTATTTATCACTAGCCGATGTTTTAACCTGTATTATATATGAATAGCTTCATAAGATTTGTAATTGAAACGCGAGACATTCCTGTGTCTCTCAGGGCTTATAATCAAGTTGGCTCTTTCCCTCCTTCTAAAGACAAGATTCCGTAGGCAGATTCCTCTATCAAATCGTCAACAACTGTCATCCTTCTTACGCCTACAATCTTCTCCAGTTTAGGTCACCAGTCTATTTCCTTACCACAAGATCTAGACCTGACCTGTACATCCCTTCTCACAAATCTGTCTCATTCCAAAACTCCTTTGTTGCCCCATCTTTCAATTTCTGGAATTCCCTCCCTATTGAAATTCAGCATTTCCCTTCCTTATTCACTTTTAAAAACCTCCTATTCCAATCCCTGTCCCTGAAACTGGCAGAAATCTAATGACCTTTTGACATTATATATTATATATATTTTATTTCATTTATTATCAAATTACATTGCTGTTCTTTGCTAGGGATATTGAAAGAATTTCTTACTTTTGATGCCACTCAATGCATCTGCTGTTTTTTTATTACTATTATTTAAATATATATGCAATTCTTAGTTACATCATTAAGATACAATCATGCTCTTCTCATGATGTAATCATATATTATTATTTATTTATATATCATTTAAATGTAATAACATATTATTTAGCATTAACATACTTAGTTATTTTATATGGACAGATTCTGCTTTCTGTTTTGTAGTAGAAACTGAGAGCTTATTGATAAGAAGAATTTAATTTATTTTCTTTCTTGTTTTCCTAGAAATGAATATTTATATTGTTATACCATTTTATATAGTTTTAAGTATTTTGTTTTGTTTATAGCATTTTAACTTAATGTTTTCTTTACTTCTTTTTTTTTTTTTTTCAAACTTTGGCCAGAAGTAATTTTTTATTTTTGTACGATTTTGTTATTATCAAGGGAATTCTTCCTAAATAAAATTATTTTCTATCTATCAATTTATATCTTCATCAGGGCTACACAGTTCATATATTTCGTTTAAAATGGTTCTTATAATGTCATTGTTCTAAAAATTAAGGAGCAATTATCTAAAAAATTAAATGCAGATAATTAAGAGGACAAACATTAGTGATAAAACAAATAAGAAAAAGGAAGAGTGAGTAAATGAAAAGTTGTAATAAATATCTCTATATTTATTTTAGCTGTGTCTTACAAAAACACAAAGTCTTTTAATATATTTTCCATGTTAGGTTTATTTAGGAATTCTTCTTCTTTATACATAATTTTATTATACAAATTTTTTTAGGAGTAAGCATAGCCACTGACCATCTGACATAATTAAACTTAATATGGTCACAAAGAATTTTTACACAGCCAATAACAATATGCCAACATTTTATTTTACAGAATATAATAGATAAATAATACATTTGTGAACAATACTATTTGACTAGAAACATCATTGTCTTATGCATTTTATTTGAAATATTTCACATTATCTTAATCATAAATTTAACCTTAAATTTTTACTTTTTTAATGACTTTATTTATTTAATATTGCTATTTTTATCATTGGTTTCCTTTTCTTTATGTGTGATATAAATAACTATGCATTATTGCTCCAGATAACATTTCATTACAATAAAATATAAAATATGGTTTAGGAATTTTGGAAAAGTTTATCAATAGTATTACCTATAACATGTTTTTAAATTTATAATTGTATTACTTTTATTATAATTTTCAATAAAACCAAGATCTATTTATGAAGTTATTCCAGTGTACTTTTATAATTTATTTTATTCTTTAATAAAAAAATCAACATTGGTAAAAAAAATTAATTAATTTGGTTGCTTATATATTTCAACGAATGGAAAAATAAATCAATAAAC